TGTGGCCCAAATATGGCACACGTATTAGGCAAGCGTGCTACCACCGTGCCACAGCGGCAGCGGGCAACGGCGCGTACTACATTGGTTAATGGTAGTGAGTAGTGACGTCGATCGATAAACCGGTATGATATCGGTACACCAGTGTTAAATAAAACGGCTTGAAATTCAACTTTATCGTGTTTTCATCGTTGAAAAAGTGCGCCTATATTACTCTATGAGTAGTAATGCATCGTTTACAGTCAAGCAATTTGAAATCATGCGAGCAGATTAAGAGAACATAGCTAACAAAAAATGGGCTGTTCCCTTTTATAGTATAGATGTGCGGCGACAGATATCCACATCCAAGTGTGGCTTTAGGCCACCTCGTCCCCCGCAGGTCTACTGATAAAAGTTTCTTAGGGAAATCTATGCTGAGACACCCCCTAAACATTTTAAATGCATATTCATCAGAAAATATAACTCTTCTGGTGAGATATTGCGCATGCGTTTTTACACAGTAACGTAGCCAGATTGTGTACTGGATGGTATACGCAGCCGGGACCTTACATGCAAGGTCTTCCTCCTATTTCTTAAATGATGTCTACTGATGAAACGTTATCATATAAATCTATGCTAAGATAACTCCTCTTTATTTTAAATGCATAATCTTTGCAAATTACCATTTCTCTCGAAAGATATTGTGCATGCGCGAGCACCGTGTTAGGCGTGCAATGCCGTCTATGAGGCAAACTTCATAATATAGCTTGCTGAGGGGGAGAGGGGATGGGAGATTGAGGAAATGCGGCAGCGAAGATAGCTGGGGGCAGTAGAAGAAGAAGGAAGCCGAGCGAAAGAAAGGGAGGCAAGGGGAAGGACGCGAGGGTATGAAGTAGGTGTTTTGTACCCTACATGCTAGGGCGATCTCCTAATTATAAACACATGTCAACTGATAAAAGTTTATTAGGGAAATCTATGTTGAGATACCCCCTGACCATTTTAAATATATATTCATTACAAAATATAAATCCTCAGGTGAGATATTGCGCATGCGCTAACACACTAACGTAGCCAGATTGTGTACTGGCTGGTATACGCAGCGGGGACCTTATATGGAAGGTCTTCCTCCGATTTCTTAAATGATGTCTATAGAAGGAATGTTATCATATAAATCTATTCTATTATAACTCTTCTTCATTTTAGATGCATAATCTTTGCAAAATACGATTTCTCTCGGGAGATATTGCGCATGCGCGCGCACCGTGTTAGGCGTGCAGTGCCGTCTGAGGCAAACTTCATAATATAGCTTGCTGAGGGGGAGAGGGGATGGGAGACAAAGGAAATGCGGCAAGAAAGATAGCTGGGGGCGGTAGAAGAAGAAGGAGGCTGAGCGAGGGACAGGGGAGGCAAGGGCAAGGACGTGAGGGCATAAAGTAGGTATTTTGTACCCTACATGCTAGGGCGCTCTTCTAATTATAAACACATATCAACTGATAAAACTTAATTAGGGAAATCTATGCTGAGATACCCCCTAACCATTTTAAATGCATATTTATCACAAAATATAACTTCTCTGGTGAGATATTGCGCATGCGCTAGCATACTAACATAGCCAGATTGTGTACTGGCTGGTATACGCAGCGGGGACCTTATATGCAAAATCTTCCTCCGATTTCTTAAATCATGTCCATAGAAGGAATGTTATAATATAAATCTATGCTAGGATAACTCCTCTTCATTTTAAATGCATAATCTTTGCAAAATACGTCTTCTCTCGGGAGATATTGCGCATGCGCGCGCACCGTGTTAGGCGTGCAGTGCCGTCTGAGGCAAACTTCATAATATAGCTTGCTGAGGGGGAGAGGGGATACTATTTTGCTATCAGTGTCACGCATGGGGAAACTTTTCAGGGACAACATCTGCTGCTGTTGACACATGTTCGTGTTCTTAAGCATCCTGTCTATATATTCACGATGAACTTTGGGTTTACACTTGCATACACGTTGGGAGATCAATCTTTACTCACGCACATGTTGGGCTAACCTGCACGCAATCTACACCTTCTTCTTACAGTCGTTAGTTGCATCTATGCACGTGTAAGTGAGAGTAAAGTGCTGTGACGATATTATGGGTTCGCGAATGGTCGGCTTGCTTCTGTTGCTTGGGCTCTTCGAATATTCGGTACGTATGAATGTGCGTTTACATTAAATCTATACTAGATAGAGCATTACTTACAGTAGCGGATTATCAATGGGGCAAAGGGGGCATTTGCCCCCGGCCCTACAAGTCTACCGGCCCTAAAGTGTTGTGACTACAAAAAAAAATATACAGTTTATTATTTTTTCCAAAGTAGATCTTGGGAAAAAACCTACCACTTTCATATGACTACATTTGTTTTTGCTTTCTACTTGTTTTCATTTTCTCCGTGTTTTGTGGGTTACATTGCAGCAGCTATAGGAATATTATTCACTTTAAGGTAGCTAGTGGGGTTAAAACTACCAATTT